AATATGTCCGGGGTTATTTAGATATGCTATAGCTGGTCACTGGCATGTATTACTAGATTATATTAAGATACTGATGAATGACTGATTTATTTATTTTGCTTTGCTTTGTTGCGTCCGTCAGCGTTTGGTACCAATGCACATGGCACCCTTTAGTGCCATTGTTCAACGCTAAAAGTACTACTATAACTAACCGAAAAGTCCAAGTAAGGAGGTGGTCGGGTGTAAAGTGGGCCAAAAAAACGGACTTTCACCCAGGAGACCAGCGTTTGTTTCCCATGTGAAACAAAAATATTTGTGATTCCTTTTAGTGATGTTATGCAAGTTATGTAACTTACAAAGTAGCGTTGCTTAACTTACGTAATTAATCGCGTAGTTATTTTAACCCAAATCATGATGTTTTCCTAAAACTAACCAAGTAGTTTTGTTGCCTACACCTAACCAAACTGCAACGTTTTGCGACGTTAACCACTAGTTTTACTTTGAAAGTCTAACCAGACGTTATTTATTCTTACTAACTTGACCACGGAGCCCTACACGTACAAAAAGAGTCGCCAAAGGGTCTTGACAAAGCGCCCATATATGAAACCCTGGGGCGTGAACGGGTTGCTTGAAACGATGGAAAACCATGTGGAAATTATGAAAATCAGACATTTCTGTTAGTGTCACGTGTTAATGTGAGGAAGGTTACAGGCTCCTCATCGTTTCTGACGTAGGCTACGTAGCACTTTGCTTTTCTGAATAACCCAACAGTTCCAGCTCAGTCAGCTGGAAAAACTGTTTTGCAATATTTTGTCTGCTTTTCCACCTTTTTGTTTTTTATGCCCAACTTGAAAACGACTTGTATGACCTGACCCTGAGGGATGTGTGTCCGCTCTCTCGCCTGCCTGTCCTGCCTGTTTTACTTATCTTTGGTCCAGAAACCGGCGGGCGGGGGGGGAAGTGTTGATTTAGGGCTTTTTCTGCCACGTTTCTGAGCCGAGATTCAGTGGATTCATAGATCATCCAAGTCCACTGAGCCCGCTGGTCTCTCTTTCCTCGCTGTGACAGGAGCGGACAGCTGAGGGTAATCCTCCGCCCAGCAGATGCTCAGTGTGCTGATATGTAGGACATGCTCACAGGATTGATCTCTCTCTCTCGCTGCATGTGTAATGTGTAGAGCCCGCGGTGTTTGGAGCCGTAATCCGGGGCTCTTAGATCGAGGCCCATGGAGGCCCCGAGTGTCAGCAACACATTCCCCCCCCCCCCACACACACACACACACACATACACATACACATACTGAAACACACATGCAGCATCACTGACACTTCAGAGCTAAATATACCTCGAGTGACAGCGACAGGTGACCAGGCTCCTCCACAGGCCGGCCAGCTCGGACACAGGAGGTCACAGGGTGTGAGTGTGTGATTGTGAGTGTGTGTGTGTGTGTGTGTGTGTGTGGCGGGGGGGTTGATGGGACAGAGGGGGTGGCGTTTGAGCATCAGGGTCTGACGAGTGTAGACTACCTCTGCTCAGTGCGGACTGAGCTCAGATCCAAACGCAGCCCAGTTCTGGGTCCCCCCCTCTTGAAAGCCAGCTGGTCTGGCTTAATGTTGCTTCTTTATTTTTTAAAAAAAACCTTTCTTGTTTGATACAAGGGATCGACCGAGCAAACCCACAGCTGGAGCTGCTGGGGAACCTTCCAGGTGAAGAAGACAGAACAAAAAGCACTGGTGAGTGGACTGTAACCGGAGGAACGCGTGCTGATGGATGACGCGTGGGTGTTTAAACATTCGCGAAACTCAGAACAAAATTGGAGTTTTGCTAAATGCTGGTGAAGGGAAGAAGGGAAAAGATGTTTACTAGACAGGCAGAAAGTGTTGAAGATGGAAACTGAATGTTAAATTAGATTAAAGCAGGGAGTTTGTTTGTTGTACCACCTGGTGGCAGCGGAAACAAGCTATAAACTGACCTTATAAAGTTTTTTATGGCTAACGGGTTAGCAAACAGTTATTTACACATGCAGCACTTTAAGATTAATTTGGATTCATTTCACTTACAAATAAAAGCCCGTTATTCACTTATGGTTTAGTTTCCGGCAGCTCCTGAGGGACATATCTGTCTCTTCAGCTGCTAAACGCTCCCCTAGGTTCACCAGCTGGTCCGTGTACAGAGGGTTTATCAGCAGAGCCTGACCTAATAGCAATACAAGGCCAATAACGATATTGATATTTTGACGAGCATTCATTCAATTTGGTTAATAAGTCTTTTGACCTGAAAACTAAACTCGCTCTCTTGTGGACAAAGTATGACAAGATGTTTCTCAGCAACCTTAAACATATTTGTGACATTTTTGCGCTGACATTTCTTGTCACTTTTTCTCCGACATATCTACATCACCATATCTGCAATAGGCTAATGTCAGCCAATATATTGATCTAGCTCTGTTTGTTTAAAAGTGCTGAGGGAGAAACCAAAGCAATTGGCTGAAAGAAGCTGAAACACTTGCTCTGTGATAGTTTTCTGTAGGTTTGTCTTTATGAGTGACCACTCACTGTATGTAGCTTGTTGGTTGGACTGATTTTTGTGTAGGTGTCACTTTGGGCTCTGGGTTGCTGAAGGACGTTTGGTTGCTGACGGCATTTCTCACTATTTATAGAATTTTTACAAACCAGACAATGGATCACTGTAAACAATAATCAGCAGATTAATCCACAATGAAAATAATCGTTAAAATAAAGAAATAAGATTCTCAATGTGTAGTCTGAGAGATTTTTGGTGATGGCCTTGTGAAATCACAGACCCAAACAGTTTTATACGTCACAGTGTTGGGAGTTTATAGAATTGCTCAACATGTGGTTTGTGTTTGCTGTTTCTTTGTTTTCTGCCTTTGCTACTTCCTCATCTTCCTCCATCTCTCATATATCCCTGTGTGTGACATCCGCACTCACATTGTTTCTGCAGCAAATAGAAGACCACTGCATTAGCCTATAGCCTAATGCGTGTATTAAGAATTAAACTTATATAATATTGCAGGAACGCTGCATGAATCGTGCATAGAAAAGATTTCTACTTTATTTGTGACAGTTGTGCTAATTCTGCTACGAAACGACAGACGACAGTGAATTCTTATTTACTTAAAACCGTTGTTAATGTAATTTAAGGTCGAATAACAAACCGTTTCTATTTGAATTTAATTAAAAGTTATATCCCGATGTGTAGTAATACAGCATATACATAAACCTCAAGTTTGTGGTTCTGGCTTTGAAAATACTGTCCCCATCGATCCCTGTTTAAGGGCCTTGAAGTTATAAATGATACAAATTAAACACAGTTTTTATGTAACGTTACTCCATTAAAGGGATACTTGGGGATTTTTAAGTGGGGCTGTAAGAAGTACCACAAAAAAAAAGTTATTAAGTTAATAATTTTCAGCACATACCTCGTGTCATACATTTATTTCCATTTATTTAAGTTTCTCCTATAAGTCGAAATAGGCCTACTTCAAGTTTTACTGTTCCAAACAAAAGAGCTGTCTGATGGCAAAGTAAAGCGGTGAAAATATTCTAAATGTAGTGTAGGTTATAATGCTTTCAGTCTTGACACTGTGGCTACCTTTGTTGTATAAATATGGATTGTGCCTTTAGGTTTTTTGCAACATCTATCAACTTTGTGTTGAAAAGAGGTGGAGACATAAGGGCTCAGATTAGAGGTGTGACGATACACTTGGCTCACGAGAGGTGACGATACAAGAGAAGATATTTTAACTGTATTTTGAAGAAATGTTCAAAGCTGAAATATATAGTTTGGAGGTCTGGGGGTCCTTGCCCTGAAACTTTTGAGCATTAAACACTTGATTTCCTGCATTCTGGAGATTTGTTCTGCACCAATTTATGGTGGAAATCTCTTTATTTATACAAAGGGGGAAACAAAAATTCAGCTGGCAGGTGACAATTCAAAATATAAAAATATAATGACACATCATGCAGTAATCAGTAGCTTGTGATTGGACAATGCACATTTGTTTCCTCTATAGTTGAAATGCATAGCAGGTTTTCTTAAAGCATTTTCATTTGTTATTGAACATTTTGTTTTTATCAAAACATTTTAATAATTTCTTTTTTAAATGATGAGGACGATATCAGCCATTTCAAAAAGTGGTGGGGACATGTCCCCAGGTCCCCGGTGTAAATGACACCTGTTGGGTGGCTGCGGTGGGGCTCAGATTTCTGTGCTACACTACTGGATTTGAAAGTACAAGAAAACTAGAGATGAAACGATTAGTCGATTCACAGAAAATTAGACATTTTTTTGATACTCTTTTTAATGTTTTTGTTATTCAGTTTTGGTTTCAAATGTGAAAATCTGCTGTTTCTCTGGAAACTGAAGTTCTTTGGGTTTTGGACTGTTGGCCGGGCAAAACAAAGGAATCTGAGAAACATGACATGTTTTACAGGAAATCATTAATCGATTGGATAATGAAAATAACTGTTAGTTGCAGCCCTGCTGTAAACATTACTGGACATAGGGTAGAAGTGCAGATAAGTAAATGTGCACTCTTAGTAGTGTCCACTGAGAGGCAGTGCTGAACCTCAGACACATGACAGCCCAATAAATGTTTATTATCATAGTTTTGAGAGCGTGCACGGGTTGAAAACATGACTTAAAATTGTAAAAAGATGTCTCACGCCCCTTCAACTCAGATTTTTTATTACTTTTATTCTGCTTTATTTCACACAACATGGGTTATTTCACGATCCTAATCTACTTCTTTCCTCTGTGTCTCTGCGCGTGCGATGGCACGTGTGTGCGCGCGTGTGTGTGTCTGTGATGATGCCGCCTCCTGACGCGTCCAGGTGCTCACTGACAAACCTGAGGGGCGCGTGCTCCAGGAGACACACCGATGGACTGAACCGCTGGACGGAGACACGCAGAGAAAGTCGCGGAGGACATGCGGAGAGGTAAGCTTCAGGACTGTGTGTGTGTGAGAGAGAGAGAGAGATGCGGGGCGTGCGGGCTGGACACGCCATGTAACGGACAAACAACAGGAAACAAACAGAAGCGGGATGAAGCCGAACCCACACATCCTCTTCCTCGAGTTTCTCCGTGGAGCTTTATTTCCTCCCCTCGCATCAGATTAGAGAAGTTGAAGCGCGTCTCTGCGTCTGCAGAACTTATGTCCAGTCTCGTCTCTCTCAGCTCGAGCAGTTTGACGGTCAGGTTGTAGTTTGGAGTCCCGGGGCTGCAGCTCGGGGTTGCGGGGCTTTGTGCGTAGCTTCACCCGGCAGAGACGGGTGGAAACCTTGGGGAGCTTTTCTGTCAGAGACCAGTGCGCCATGCGAGGAGTAAAAGTGCGACATTTCCACAGCAACACTTGGTAAGAGATGTTCTAACTGGAGAAAGTTTATAACTTATAGAAACTATTCTATCCACTGTTTATTATTCTGATTCTGTTCGGGGACTCTGTTAGGATTAAATTCATCTCCCCTCATCAGTGATTCCTTATGAAGCCTCAAAATGCAGCTGAGTCGTACTGGCTGTGTCGCATGTGAGTGAGAGTTGTGCGCTATTCTACCGATCAGGGCCGGATTCAGCTATTTGGGGGTCCTAGATGCAAATTCAGGAACGGGGCTTCCTTTGTACCTTAAGCCCCACTCAGACTGGGTTTATGTGTCATGGGGAGGTGGGGTGATTTTAACATTACCTGCGCTGGTCGGGGATTTTAAAAAGCCATCAGGAGAGCAAGAGGCGTGAAATCTCATCAGATGTGCTGCAGCTAGAGTCTGCTGTTCTCTCTACAGAAGGGATTTAAAAGCCTGTTTTTGTTTATAAATAAGTACAAGTATCCTGTGGCTCAGGAGCTACAGCGGGTCTTCCATTCATACAGGGTTGTCTGTTTGATCCCCGGCTCCTCATGTCCTCATGTGGAAGTGTCCGGTTGATAAGCAGGTCAGTACCTTGCATTGCAGCTCAGTGAGTGAGTAAAGAGCAGTCCATTTACCGTTTACATTTAGGCAAATTGGCGCAATTAATAGAAGCTGAATTAGCTGTTAGTGGCTGCTGTTTGCAGTGAACCCATGTATGCACAGACATCTATCACTAGAGTACTGTGATACCGAAGAAAACCTAAAAACATGATGATTCTCAGGCAGGTTCTGCAGCGTCTTTTTTCTCTATTTTTAAGTGGAGTTGTGGAGGTTTATTCTGGATGGACATCAGAGATAAAGATGTCCTCGGTAAGTGTTCGTCACACCGAATATGTGTTTCATGTCAGATCGGACTTGAGTTATTATGGCTCTGAGAAGGGGTGCGATTCTTGACTGAAATTCTCCCCTTCAGCTCTCTGTCTGGCCTGTATTGTAGAGCTATTCCTTTTTAAAGCATCAACAATGGTGCAGTTAAATTGTAAAAAAAAAAGGGCAACACAAAAGTTCCTGAACTGAAGAGAGGCTGTATCCTGTAGAGATGTTGTCTGTGTGATATCATTCATGTATGCTGAGCATGTGGTGCGGCGTCTGTGCCACAAAATGACTCATCCACTGCTTATAGAGGGGTGTCCCTAACCAAACCACATGTATTAGATCGAGTTACCTGCCTCGACATTACTGAGACCTTAAAAGGGACTTTAACCAGTAATTTAAATCTGCATTTGTTTGTTAAACTTAATGACACACTTTGAACTTTGTTGACAGTTTGTCATCCATCCCAACATGACGAATCTGCTTTTTGCACTCTGACAACGCACAGGTGTTTTGCAGATCAGCTGTTTGTTCCCCTGCTGACTTGAAAAGCCCCCTAATTTTGCCCCGAGGTAAATCTGTGTTTACAGGAATATAATCTATGAAGGATAACGTGTCCCACCACAAACGCTAGTCTCCCACAGATGAGATGGCTCGAACTTGAGTGACTTCCCCTCAGTAATAAAGGCGGTTCACAACATATTGTTTAGCCCCAGAGGGTCTCAGACAGAGGAGGGTTTTGTGTGCCGCTGGTTTCAGTTTTTTCCCTGAACTTTTCCACTCAATTGACTTCTTTAGTAATTTTGAAACAAAGAGTCCTTAATTTCAGATAGAAGTAGTGAAAAGCAGAAATGTCCAGCTGTCTTTGGCATTTTTTATTAGCGGTTTCTAGCTAGCTAATGGAGCTGACTTGTTTTAAAACTCAAACCCTGTAAAAGGGTCTTAAATATGCACTTGATGGCAAAGCTAGTTGTCCCTAGTATTAATATTAAAGATAGATAGATCTAACATGATCCTGTTTGAATGTTTTGCTTCTGAAATACTCATTTATAAGAGAAAAGGCTTCTATGCTAGCTGTACCCCCCTGTTTTCAGTCTTTGTGCTAAGCTACGTTAGCCAGCTGCTGGTTGCAGCTATGATAATACAGATCTAACTCAGCAAGAAAGCGAATAATTGTGTTTTGCAAAATGTTTTGAACTTATTATTCCACCCTCTATTATGGCTCCTTTAGTTTCATTAGCTACATTTAGTTACAGTTAAGTCTAATGATTATTTTTATTATCGTTTTAATCTGTAGATCATTTTCTCAGTTAATCAATTAGTTGTCTGGCCCACAAAACGTCAGAAAATGGTAAAAAAAAAAAGGAAAAAGAAAGAAATGTCGATTAGTGTTTCCCAAAGCCCAAGATATAACATCCTCTGATGACTTGTTTAGTCAAAATAAACCAAAGATACTAAGTTTCCTGTCATAGATGGGAAAGTAACCAGAAAATAGTCACATTTAAGGAATCAGAGAATTTTGCCTTTTCTTTCCTTAAAAATGAAATTGATTACAAATTAGTTGGTGATTAAAGTAATAATTGACAACTAATCGATTAATCGACTAATGATTGTAGCTCTGGTTACAAATAAGATGGTTTGGCCTCATCTTCTTTTCTTTTATCTTATCGATTCCGAGTTCAGTTCCAGGTAGGTCTGAAAAAGACTGGACATCGGGCTTCCTGAAACTTCCCTGAGTGGATCACATGGTACCTTTCGAAACTGTCCATCCACCTCCTGTCTGAGTGCCCCATGCAGGAGAGCCTGACACCCCTCCCCCTCCACCAGCCCCCAGACAGAGATATGCAGAGTGTCCTGCCAAGGAATACAAGGGCACCGCCGCATGTCACCCATCAGCTTTTTGCTCTCAGCTGCGTGGACACAATGTACAGCACATATGCAAACAGGCGCACACGTCCACATAGTCAAACTCTCTCTCTGAGGTTCGGCGTGGTGGAAAGTAATTGGCGAGGGAGCAGCTGAGGACTGCGTGAGATGGCTGATTTCCATCTCTCCCTCTGTAACAGTCTCTCTCTCTGTCTGTGAACCAGAAACCCGTCGTATTGTTGTTGCGGGGGGGTAAAAAGTTCAGTCTTTTATTTTTGGAGTCCGTCTGTTTTACACTGAGTCTATAAATAGCAGGGAGGTTTGTGCGGGTGGGTGTGCGGGGAGGGTGCGTTTGGTGGAGATTTGCTGTCAACCTGGAAAAGATCAAGCGGTGCATTAAATCACACCTACGGATACAGCACACACACACACACACACACGCTATGATTTTTATTTAATGCAATCTTCCCTCAACATCACAGCTCAGTTTGACTTAAAATTCCCTTTTTACGACAACATGCTGAGTGCGCTCGTCTGTGAGTGCTCTAAATTTAAACCGTGTTGATCCTTGTACTGTTTTCCTGAAGCGAGTTAGGCTCACAGGCAGCGTGACTCAGACACTAGATATTCATGTAACGCTCTCGGGCCGGCATGTTGCTGCTCGCCGCATATGATTCTGATAGTATCATGTCGCTCCACGCAATCAAAGGGTTTGGTTTGTTTTGGCAAAACACATCAATTATGTTCATATTCATCCACAGTGCAAACGAAGCAGCAGAAAATATCAGAGAAGGTTATCAAGGCTGCAGCTGATGGTTATTGGCATTGATTGATCTGCTGCTTATTTACTGGAATTAATTCTTTGTAGACTAAAGAACGTAGAATCTAAATGTAGCATAAAAGGAACTACAACTTAATCTCGTTATGCAACCCTGTGTGTAAAATGATAGATAAATCTAATTTAAAATGTCAGAAAAATTATTTTAAGTTGTTTAAACTGTGATAAACCAAACCAGCCATCATCAGAAAAGCATTTGGGAGTTTGGGAGTCACGTGTGGCTTGTTTATGTGTTTTGACGGGAGAGGGTAAAAAAAAAAACTTGAGTCTCGCATGAAAATCAGGAGGGTTGAGTAAAAGATAAACACACTCACTGCTGGTTTTGGTCGTTCGGTTAGGAAGAAAAATATGGAAAATAACCAGACTGAACCTTTTTAATATGTTAATACTGGTTGTTTTGCGTCTTGAGTGGTTTCTCTGTCAGAAATGCAACAGAAGAAGAAGAGCAACTCATATGTCCGTCTACGACCTGCAGGGTGCGACAGCCGAAGCTACTTTTTGGGAGCCTTGCTAGCTTGTCTACGTAATTTGAATCCCGCAAGACAGTTGTGGACTCATAAATGTACAGAGATGCAATTATTGAATGTCTTGTTCGCGACCAGTCAGAGCTGGTTAGTGTGGCTCGGGAAAGGGAGGTTTGGGGGTCCCAGCAGGAGCTGCTGCCCCTGCAACACGACCCCGGATGAGCGGTCGAAGGTGGATGGATGGTTTAGAGAATGTAAATGGATTGAATGGTCATTGCTGAGGTTTGAAACAGACAAAATCAGACAGATAAAAGATTAAATTATTCTTTGATTCAGTGAAGAAACAAATGCCAAATCTTTAAATGGTTCCAGCTACTCAAATGTGAGGATGTGCTGTTATTCCGTGTTTTGCATCATAGTTAAATGAATATTTTTAGTTTGCTGGTCAAACAATGAGACATTTATGAATGTCAACATTGGAAAAAGTTTTCACTATTTTTAGACAAAATAATCTGCAGATGAATAAAAAGTGAAAGCAATCGTCTGTTGTAGCCCAAGTCTTGTTTAATAAAAATCTTAATAACGTTAATAATGATGATGATGGTGATTAAGAGATGCGGGAGATGAAGCAAAACGGCAACATTTGAAGAACTGCGTTGACTTGAAAGGAGCACTGCAGTCTGAGAGACCACCTTACGTCTCCACGAGTCCCAGTTTCAGTCTCCCATTTCATCCCGAGGGCCTTCCGAGGGCCTTCACCTCCTGAAAGCCAGCACGCCTTTTCTTTCCTCGCCCTGCTGTGATGACGACCCGGAAAGCTGCCAAGAAGATCTGCCGTGTGTGTGTTTGTGTGTGAACATCCAGTTAACTCGGCGACCCAAGCTCTTAATCTCCGCTTCAGGAGCAAGACGCAGGTCACATGGCACGCACACGCTTTCAAACACTACACGCTCTGCAAGGTACATCTTTAATCCAAACCAGTAGAACAACTTAAACTAGTATAACATAGTTCCCCCACTTGTGTGTGCCGGTCCTGTGGTTCATGCCCCGTGGCACACCAGAGATTAACAAAGGATTTGTTGATAGAGCATATCACATTCCTCTGACGAGGATGGTAGGCGTCTTGTTCTTAAACGTCTCCTGCTCATGGCGATTAAAGGGCGATTGGCTTAATGTGAGGGGTCAGAGTGAGAGGTTAAGTGAGTTAAAGGGTCAGCTGTGGGGGCTTCTGTCTGAAGAGAAAGTGTGTTTTTGTGTGTGTTGGTGTTTCCACATGGTCAAAAACTTCATCATGCACTTCATTTCATAAACACGGAGCAGCAGGCAGCGTTGGTGAAACAGGAAGCTGATTTATTACAACATATTTTTGTGGTTTTAGTTAAGTTTAGTTTATAGGACAAGATAAAAAGAGGTATAATCGAAGACTTGCAAGTGAACATATTGTCAAGGATAACAAGAAAATGTTGTTTGGTTTTGGTGTCCCATCAGCCACAGCAAGGTGAAAACAGGCGACAGAAGAATAAGGCACATACAATAACAATATATACATTACACTTTACAATGGCTTCTTGAACTACTATTACATGATGCCTCATACAATTTTAATACACATTAATATGTAATAGATGATGAGCGTAGAGCGTGGTACAAATAGCAAGCAAGCCCCTTATTATATCGAGACGCTCGTGTCAGGTATGATAACACTCCCAAGTAAAAGCTGAGATCTGGAAGCACGGGGACGGTGATCAGTCGGACGATCAGACAGCTTGGAAACAGGCCACAGTAAAGACAGATAATCTACATCACTTCATTTCGAAGCAGGAAGTCGGCCTGTAATCTGGGATGGGCCAGTTTGTTCTTCGCCTTCAGTCTCTCTTCCGCCAAAGCTGGAATGATGCTTCTCTGAAGGCACACCAGAACATCTTAGCGCACCTGCACAGAGACACAAGAGAAGGGGCTTATGGGTAACCGCAGGTCACACAGCCTCGCGGGACAATCCGACAGACACACCTCCCAAATCTCAACAACGTGTAGAGCGCACCTGCTCTCAGACTGCTGCTGCTGATCTCCTGGCAGAGCAGAGGAAAATAAATCCTGGTCAAGGCGTTTTAATATCGTTGTCCATCTTGTTATTGTCTAGTTGATACATCTAGGTAGGTAGGTACATTTATTTATCACAAGATAACAGGTTATATAGTGAAATTGATATTAAAATGAAATTGAAATTATATAGTGAAATCGCTGTGCACCATTCCACTAAACTCTAAAAACCACTAAATTCTTCTTCTTATGAAGGACTAGGGCTGGGCAATAAAACAATTACTGCAATATTATTTTCTTCAATAACAATATAATAAATGATCAATATATCATCAATGAAAGTTTGATTTAATTCGTTTGAATCACAAACTAATTAGCACTTAATTTTTCTATTAAGATATTTATTTAGTTGAGGAAAAAAGCACTGAAAAAAGATTTACTTAATCGTATTTAAAAATAAAAAAGATTTTATCGTTATAGTTTTGAATGTTCTGCCTCAGATTTGTGAAGTGATCCACTGTTTGTTCTGACCATAAACAAAAGTTTAACCACACAATTAACCATCCGGTTTCTTCAATTTTCCCTCAGGACCAAAAATCAGCCTTTAAACTCTAAAGAAATAATGATCTGACATTTATCCTTATAATTTGATAATAGTAGACTTTTTTGGCTGGGGGGGGCATTTTTCCCAGCCCTATGAAGCACACTGTATTAAATCTTCTTGTCTGAAATGTGCTGTGTAAATACATTTTATTAATATTATTAATGACATGAGTTTCCCGCTCGCTCGTCCCGTCTCGGCTCCACCCAGAGAGGAAGTTTTCTGCACGAGCGGTAAACACAGAATCCTGTCTTCAAATGTGGTTTCTCAAAACCCCCCTAGATGTTTTTTTTTTTTTTTATATAGCATGATAGAGCCAAACTCATCCGTCTTTATTTGCATTCTGACAAGCTCGGTTGTTTCACTTCCTCCTGAGGGCACAGTAAACCCCCAGAGGAAGCTGGGTTTCTGGGTGTGTCAGGGGGATACAGCAGCAGTGAATGGACGGGCATGCAAGCAAACAGACAATGTGCTGCCTGTCTGTGCGTGCATGGCGGTTACACTATGCATTGTAGCATGACGTGACACCCGCACGCAGTCCACTTCTGGTAATTAAAAGTGGCGTTCATACATGTTTCTGTTTTGAGTTTTGTTTTGCTTCTGTTGTAGTTTTTCATTGCTGTGGAAATGCGTAGATGTTCACACGCCAGCTCTCCAAGCGTGACACATAATCCTAAAACCAGTTTGTCCTCCTCCTGTGATCCGTGTGTGTGACTGGTGTGCATTTTGTGATGTTTTTAAGCCCAGTGATAATGTTTTTGTTCTTGTCTTTGGCAGGAGCCAGCAGTTTTGGGATTGAAAAGTGAAAACGTGTGAGCAGCTGGAAGTCAGTCAAAGTAGCCAGAAGAGAAAACGTTTGTGAAAAAGAGGATAAATAAATAAAACATTTCGCCAAGATGGGGAGAAAAAAGATTCAGATAGCGCGGATCATGGACGAACGGAACAGACATGTAAGTATACTGAAGACATGCACCCGGTTATGTTGATGTGTAACACTTCAACACAAGTCTGCCGCTGCACAAGCTTAGAGATTAAATGTGCATCTTATTCACCTGATTAAAATCACTGAAACATTTCTCACGTGAACATCAGTTCTCAAGGTGCGTTCAGACAGAGAGGGTAGTAAAGTTTTGCCCAAGCAGCAAGCAGGGCTGAAAAATGTCACGTCGATCTCCTCAGACCCCCACGTCAAACAGCCAAGATGACGATGGCAATTTGGCATTTTGGCTGCTGTTGTGGTGTTCAGGAACCAGAAGTGACCCTATTTGGATGAGTGGGTGGAGCTGTGTAGGGTGTGCATTGCTACGCCTGACGGGTCGCAGTGCTTTCTGGTGTCTGTTCCTCTAAATGGGGCCATAATTTACTAAATGAACATCATGTTGTGTTGAAGAAGACTTGAAACTAACAACTGATACCATAAACTCATTACGAAAGTGTTTACTGAGGGAATAAATTAGCTGAGAAGTAGAAACATTTTCTCAGCGACTTCAATAAAATCACACTTCTTTCTGCAGCCGCTGGAGTCGCCCCCTGCAGGCCGTTAGAGAGAATGCAGGTTTAAAGAGCTTCACTTTTCAGACCCGGAGGTTCCTGCTTGGTTTTTACCCCAAACAAATAATGTACCCACTGTTCGTTAGCTGTAAACTAGCTAGTCTGTGTCTGTGTTCAGCTCAGCTTCTTGTCTCTGTACATTTACAGAAAAGATTAATAAATAAGATTAAGCACCCGTTTTTAGCTTAAATTAAAAGATTTTAAACTCGCTCAGACGCATCGTCAAATCTTCCCATCATGATGCAGCAACAGAGGTTTAAGGGAAAAAAAGCTTTGTAAAACCACAAAAATAGTGTCTCCTATCTTATTTTAGCAACTTTGGATAAATTAAAATCCAGCAAAACACCCTCACATGTGAGCGAAAACAACTTGTCCATCTATGCAGTGCACATGTTACACATGACAACATAGACCGCAGAATTTGGTATCTAATACAATATGAAATTGGTGAGAACATTAATTTGGAGATTCACTACAGAGAAGGGGGGAGGCAGCGTCTCTGTAGTCCGGTTCACAGGACGTAGGCTGCGGGTTTAGCTTGCCATTGGCTGTCTATTTCTGTTTGAATTTCTGGGCACGACGCTGCATCCTGGGCTTAGCGCCGCCCAAGACGATTGTTTGAAGTAATATAAACAAGCCAGAGCGTTTTGTTCCCTCCTATACCAGAATGATATGATAGTCTGTTCAGAAAGACCTTTCTCCAGCGCTAAAACAAAGTGTGGAGGTCTGGCTGTGTGGGACATCTCTCAGGTCATCTTTAAAATCCATCAGTGAGGGAACAGTTTAACGCACTTTCTCCCTTTCGTACTCCTCCTCTCGTGAAACAGGAGTTACATATCACGTGGGCTCTCATGTTTGAGTAAAGCTGTAAGAAACGTTAACGTCCGAATGACTCACTCTTAACAGATAGATGAAGCCAGCAGCGTTGCACATCTGAAAAGGCCTTTAGACCCTCCCTCACACACAAACAGTAAACCAGCCACATGCAGAACTCAGAGACACACTGCAGTTCCTCAAACTGGTGATTCATGTCATATGATTCTCACAAGCTGAATTCTGAGTCTACCAAAGCCTGCTAGCTCAGTGCAAAAGATATGACAACTGAGTAATGAGAGCTTATTCTCAATGAGGCTCACACACAAATGCACACATACGAACACACACACAAGTCTGGTCTGGGGGAGCGGTTCCTCTCTTCCTGTTATGACAGGAAATGCAGGCCCATATGCTTCCTGACCTCCAATACCAGGGCAGGATTGACCTCGTAACAGTCCTTTCCTGGACTCTGTGTGTGAGACGTTATCTTTAAAGCAGCAACCAGTGTGTTTGTAAGTTTTAGCTCCTCTGTTACAATCATAAAGGGTTAAAGGGGAAACTACAGTTTACTACAACTTGAGTTTTCTGCTTATAATAACAACATACTTAATTGCTGAGATCATTGGACGCGACAGTGTCGCTAAAAATAGGTCCAACAGGGCAACAAACGCGAGCAGACAAGTAGGAAACCATCAGGTTAATCAAGCTTATTTAGAAGACAAAATAAAGGTGAGCAGCAAAATCATGACCCGAACTGTCCGTTATAAACATCCATCACAGACCGACTTCCTGCTTCAACTTTGACCTACTGTATTTATTGTAGTGTGCACACAGTTTTCCTGTGCGATAAAGGATTATTACAAACATCTCAGACGCACTCGCTTTCAGTTTTACCTCCAAATAAAGTGGGTTAAATGACCTAGATAAACTAATGGCTTGTTTGCAACCTGCCTGCTCATGTTTCTTGAACTTCTGAACCTATTTTTAGCTGAGGAATCAACATAGTGAGTTCAGAACTGATGCAGCCCAAGTTGTAATTCACAGTAGGCGCTGTCCATTTTCTATTTTTCCTACAGTTTCATGGCAGCCATTGGTTTCCATTCTTTTCGGTGAAGTTTTAAAAATCAATTATCAGACTCTTAAAAAGGATTTGTGTAATCCACCACAGTGAACATCAAGTCTGCATTTAGTTACATTATTTATGTGCGGTAATGTTGTTTTAAGTGCAGATTGATTTTTACAGTCTGCGCTGCATCTCCTCATACTGTGCTGAAAGTAATGGAAACAAACGGTAGACACAGTACACCCAACTTTAAATCAAAGTATTGAACTAAACAAAACATTGACCCTGATGATGGCGTTATTACAGTTCATCCTGAGGCGACCACGAAGGTCTGAACCACATTTCATCACAACTAGGGCTGGACGATATGGCCAAAAATGTTGTCACGATAAAAATCTTTCAATATCGATATTTATCGCGATAAGTATCAAATCGTTATTTCTTTTGAGTGTAAAGGCTGATTTTTGCTCCTGAGTGAGTTATTTCAAGAAACCTGATTGTTAATTGTGGTTTAAACTATTCTTTAAGGGCAACACTTGAGTCCAAACAGTGGATCACTGAGGCAGAACATTCAAAACAATTATGATAAAATCTTTGTCAACAAATATACACGAGTAAACAAGTAAAAAAAAAAAAACACAAGTAAAAGCTTTTTTCAGTCCTTTTTCCTCAACAAAATCTTAATAAAAAATTATTCCTAATTTGTTTGTGTTTCAAGTGAATAAAATCCAACATTTATTGAATATTTATTGAACATTTGTTATATTGTATATCGCGATAATTATTGTTTTATTATCCAGCCCTAATCACAACCCATCCAATAGTTGGTAACATACACTACCGGTCAAAAGTTTCAGAACATCCCCGTTAAATGGTACAAAAGTAAGCAACTTTCAAGGCTTCATTATCTTCCACTGCTGCAGAACAACCAAAGAAGGTAAAGTTTAGGTCAACAAAACTGAGAAATAGTGAAATTTCAAAGATTTACAGTTATTCTGCAGCAGTGGAAGTAAATGAAGCTTTGAAACACATTTCTACAGTAAACACCTTGGAGAACAGCCTGTTCATAAACCTTCAGAAGCTTCTTTTATACAATATTTATATTTTATTAATGAAGGAAGACAGAGCAGCTGGTCATCAGTTGATCCTACGTTAAAATGAACAAAATTCCTTCATTTAATTGTTAATTATATACCTGAAAATGTCTGTTTTGGTGACGTAAACGTTGTTTTTAACTTTGGCAGTTTGCTGCTTACTTTTGTACCATTTAAGGTTTTTCACTGGACTTGAACTACTTAGATTTACATACAAACTTGAAAAACACATACATTTCATAGCAATCCATCAAATAGTTGCTGCAATATTTTTAATCTCGACCTAGAGGCACAAAAACTTTAGTTAGTTTGCACAACATTCGATGTCAGTGCTGTGGTCCTTTTTTAAACCAACAATGTTTCAAGATGTCCCGAGAGAGCCACTAAAGTAAAGATATCTGATGTAGTTTCTTTTATCCGTCTTTACCTTTCTCTCTCTTTTTTTTTTTCTCCAGGTGACATTCACCAAGCGCAAGTTTGGTCTGATGAAGAAGGCGTACGAGCTGAGCGTGTTGTGCGACTGTGAGATCGCGCTCATCATCTTCAACAGCACCAACAAGCTGTTCCAGTACGCCAGCACCGACATGGACAAAGTTCTGCTCAAATACACCGAATACAACGAGCCCCACGAGAGCAGGACCAACTCCGACATCGTGGACGTAAGTAAAACGCACGCGGATATAAACAGGTTAGGGAGAAACAAATATAGATATATACAGGCATTAGGGGGAAACAAATTAGTCGATTAAGTCTTTAGTCGATCAACGGAAAACATTTGCTGGTTTTCTAAGTCGTGTGACCTTGAATATTCTTGGGGTTTTGAATAAGACGTTTTCCAGGCATCAGCTTGGACATTTTTTGGTATTTTCAGACATTTTATAGTCTAGATGAGTAAATCAGCTGATAAATCCGCACTGGAAACAAGTGTTTAGTTTAATCTAAAGAGACATTTTTCGTTTAGTTAATCGAACGACACATTATGTGAATCGACGTGTTTTGGTAATTTCTTACGTCGATGAATCACCCCAGCCCTAAATTTAATTTCGATAAATGATCCGTAACTCAAAGCCGTGTCGCCTCTTTGTCAGAACTGTCACTCAGACCCACAGCTTCGTTTGGAGTGCGTGAATGAGACAGTACTGTACAGACTGAACCTTGTTCTGCTTTGACTTATGTAATCGTGTTAGGAGAACACAACAGCAAGTGGATGCCCTCACACTCTGTGGACACGTGCACACACTCACACTCTGTGGTCACTTGCTAAGCACACAGTGTCATCGGGGTCAAATCTAAGCTGTCAGAAGTCAAAGAGCAGGGAGGAGTCTGACGGCGACAGTAAGGAGCTGTTGTTCTTTCCTGTATCTCCTGAGTCATCTGTCAGATATAACTAATACAGGTGCAAATCAATGTTTCTAATGACAAACATTCCTAACATTCCTTTGATGACAGCAGCGAGAGCAGGGCTTGACTTTTCTCCACATGTTAACAGTTAATAACAAGATCACACACTTGTGGACACTTTCAAAATAAAAGCTTTGCTCGTGGGCTTCATGTTGAGAAGCAGACAGCGAACGTGCTGCTGTGTGTTTGTGAGTTCACTGCGTGCACATGTTCATGCTGGATGTGGTTATACCTGAGCTTTCCCCTCCACGCGACCCACCACATGGCCTCTTGGCCAGCGCCGTCAGAACCGGGCTTACCCGCTCTCTAATCCCCTGTAATCTACCACAATCCTGTTTAGCTCGTTACTATAATCTGTCCAGGCAGCAGTGTATCCACACACTCTGACCCAGCCGGGTTATTTACTGCTGTCACTGGATCTGCGTCCACGTTTACCTCTGCATGACATTTCCTCTCTCGCTGCTCTCCAGCTTCCTTTTCCAGTCTGTCTAGATTTTTCTCCTCCTTTTGTTTTGTCCCTTGTGTTTTTGCTTTTGTTGGTTTTGGAGGGAAAGTCTGGCGTTTAGGTGCTTCTTGTTAATGAGAATATATCATTTCAACAGCATCTCACTTACACACTTCCTTCTACACAGCCTAAAACTTTTGCCCCTAACCTTGTTTCTGTTGACACAGTTTATGGCTCTTAAATATTAAATGGGTCGTTAAATCTCTGCAGAGGTTTCTAAATAAAACTGGAGTGACACCAGGAGTGAAAAGTGTCTGATGGTTGTGCCACTCTCAGTGACATATGCAAAGATCTACAACTGTGTGCCAGTAATTTTCTCAATGAATCGATTAAAGCGTCTATAAAATGTCAGAAAATAGTGAAAATGCTACATGTCTTTAAACTGCATAGGCTATATGGGTTGAATTGGCTATTTAAATGTGCAGGAATTCAGACAAAGAACAGCAAAGAGAATCCGGTTTTCAAAATAAGACACCCTGTGCAGACTCCCGATCGTACATCAACAATAAACACACAGATTAAAAAACAACAGATTAAAAAAAAGAAACAATTTAACTACGTAACCATAGTAGAAGCAGAAAAATCAAGGACTACTGAACAGGTAAGCAAAATCTGAACAAGTCCGCAAAACCAGGCAGGCAAAACACTCTTATTCTGAAATGTTCCATGTGGATATGCAACGTTAGCCTGCAGAGAGCGGAGCGTGCTCACTGAGAGCTGTTATCTGTAGTTGAAGCACACAAATGACAAATTAACTGATTGGTGAGTTGGGCCGTAACAGGAGGCGCATGGCGCTTGTGATCGGTGAGCAGATCTGTCGCACAAGGATCACAACGGAATAAATTTGTAACTGCAGGACTGTTTTAAAGGAATGCGCTGTCTAATTAACGTACATTTTAATCGCTGTCTTCGCGAATAGCTAATCGCATTCTTTCAAATCGCAATTTCGATTTGAAAACGATTAATCGTTCAGCTCTACTTGCAAACCTACATTGACATCAAAGGCAGTCGTGCGCGTTGATCGGTCCGACTTTCTGCGACGCGACCCAAGCCGACTAGACATGTCAAACTCTAAAGACTCCATCCGACTGACGGCGCACATTGATCCAACAGTTGGTGTTGGTTGAAGTGTTGGTGTTGGTGCAAAGCAACTAACATGTTAAGTACGGCTGCAACATACCATTGTTTCTTTATGGATTAATTCACGTTTCATCACAATTTCCCGGAGCTCAAAGAGTCATCTTAAAATTGCTTATTTTGTCCAATCAATAGTCCAAAACCCAAAGACTCTTCATTTACCATCATAAATGACAAAGAAAAGCAACAAATCCTGACATTTAAGAAGCTGCAAATGTTGTGCTTGAGAAATGATTATGGATTATCAAAATAGTTTGCAGTTTATTTTCTTTCAATCGACTAATCATTCTAATATTACGTTTATTATGATACGAGAAAGGAAATGATTCATTGTTGGTGTGATGCTGACTACTTCCAAACAGCCTGTTACTCTTAATTCACTGACGCATGCAGGTGGTGTACGGCTCTCGTGTTATTGGCCCGTGCTTTTTCTTAGTGATGCGTCACGTTGAGACGTTACTGCTGTTCGGCCGGCACATGACTCATGAAATCCGACTTGTTCCACTGGAACATGCTGCTGCTGTGTGTCACATAAAGACAGCCACACAACACTTACAGGCATTTTCCACCAACATGGAACTGGCTCTGTTCTGGTTCACGCACCTAATTTTGAACCGTTCTGAGCATTTTGACTTAAAAATAAATTGGTCCGTCATGTTCTTGTATTGTGCTGAAAGATAATTTATTGTAGACAGCTGTCACCGCAATTATGAACACGCAGTGAAACGGCTGCAATGTAATCCTTGCGGGCAATTGCTTCCCGTTAAAGTATATCCACTAAAGTGCTTGTTTTTGGACAGGCTCAGTTTATTATTACAGATGTCAAACATTATGGAAAAGATCTCTACAGAGAGAGTAAGATCCTTTTTGTTTAATCCAAAACAGTTGCTATATCACTCTCGTCAAAGCCACCAGACTCCATTCACAAAAACAGAAGTTTTACCTCTCTGGTCCACTGCTGCCTTTAGTGGGTTCTTTGTGGTATTCCCTTTAAAAGACCAAAGTCACACAATAACACAAACAAACGTACCGATCGAGGCGTCGGTAGACCAGCAACTCATGCGTTCTAAAAGGTAAAATATCTGTTTTTTTCAATGGAGTCTGGTGGCTTTGTGCTGGTTATAAAGTGTCACCATGTAAAAACCATCAGCCACTTTTCAAACTTTCAAACAGTTTACAAGACACTTTTTATCTTTGATCTTTATTATGTTATTACTAAGTGAACCTTGAGTTAAGATGAAGTCTGTTTTATTTATTGTATTTTATATTTTTCTTTTAAGGTCACATGAACAGAAACAACTTCATAATAACTCTCAAAACATTTAAGGAATGAATACTTATACATTACATTGTATGTTAAAGAGGAGTTAACGGACTTGTATGGAAGCGCTCACTGTGTGTGTTTGTTCATACACATGGTACCAGTGTGTTTCCCGAGTTAGCTGATGGCTTTGATAGTTTGCCAACATGCTACGTTTAATCTCATTGCTCTCTGATTGGATGATGAGACAGATTAGAAGTCTTTGTGATGCACGCGTAACCTCTCAGGCCAAACGAGCAGCAACACATGGCCCGACATGGTGCTGAGGCGGCTGTGCCATGGTCACGCTCGCTGTGCCAGAGTGGGCGGATCAAAGCTCGCCGTGTCGACGCTTCTCTTTTCTCTGATGGTGGGCAGAGCAGCTCGGCATGCAGCTTTCTTCATGAGAGTGAGATGAGAAGATAGATATAAAAGTAAATGTCTGTATGTTAAGAATGAAGCTGGAATCAGGGCGTTGTTAGCTTAGCTTAGCATAAAGACTGGAAGCAGGGGGAAAGAGCTAGCCTGGCTCTGCCCAGATTTCATAAATAGGCCTACCGATACCTCTAAAGCTCATTAATGAACATGTAAAACCGTGTCACAGCAAAGTTCATCTGCAAAGATATTTATCATTATAAAACAAAGAAAAAACTCCAAACGCTCCAAACTTTGGAGCGTTTGCTGCGGTCCGCCGCGGTCCAGGACTGGAAACAGAAGGACTCTCTTCTTCGTGCTTTGTTGACGTAACAAATGAGGTGACGTTAGGTCGGCGTGGCAGCTCCTGGCAGATAAGAGACACTTTGATGGACTGTAAAATGCTCACTGCTGTTCAATCAGTAGCGCAACTAAAATAGGCAACAAGTAAGGTAAGCAGAGTCCAAACGCGCGTCTCTTATCGAATCCACGGTTCTTGGAAATTTGGTACTGGTTCCAACTTGGAACTTGGAACCAATTCTCGATTGGGGTGGAAATCACCAGAGGCCCAATGATATGATATCATCACGATTCTTATGTTGCGTTACGATATTATTGGGGTATTTTGCTCTTTGTTGCAATTACCTTTTTCCCAACGTCACATTATGTCCCCAAAGGAAAACTGTGTCAACGTTTGTTTTATCTAAAAAGATTAAATTCTCTGTTTGTTCGTCTCACTTTCGGTGTAGCTGAGTGACCGTTAGCTTCCGCAATACAACTCTATAGGGAAAGTCCGTAACACCAAAGATGGCGGTTATCCCGCCCCTCCCACTACAAAGCCAATCATCTGCTTTTAACGGCCGAGGCGGGAAACGCACTGATGGAAGGGTCAACAATGCGTA